ATTCAAGATTTTATGTTAGTTTTTTCTAACAAGGTACATGAATAGAACAAAGTGTAATTTAACATTTAATATTTTTTATAATACAAAACATAAAAATATTTATGAAATGTATCTCAAAAAAATTAAGAATAAGTAAAATACGATTAAACAGCAGATTTATTACAAACCTGCAGAAAGCTCAGCACTGGTCATCAGAACAGTGTGTTTGCTGTGGATTGAAATGTAAACATCTAATCTACTCTGGATTAGCCAGTCCTTTTTAAGGGACTGACTCAGGCTGGTAACTTTCTGAACCTGTCACAACTGCTCTGTTGCCAATAACACAACACAAAGCTGTGTGGGCTCCAGAAAAGTCAAAACAAAAAGAAGAAGAAGAAAAAACTGTCATTCAGTGAAATTGTTTGGTTTCAAGTTTGGAGTTTTAACTGAACCAGAAAAGTGTAATTTAGGCCAACATGATGGTATCCACAAAAGCTCTGTCTTTGTTTAATTAGATTAAAGCAGAGGAGTCCACCCAATTTCTCTAATTAGCTCCATGGCATCATATTTTAATGTCCTTAAGTCAGTTTTTGTTTGTGTTGGATGGAGTTTGTCAAACAATAAAACATCTCAAGTTCTCCAGTTAGCTAAAGTAAAAAACCCAAAACAAATGAAGGTATTGAGGGAGATATGCTCCAGCAGAGGCAAATTACAGATAAATCAGATGCTGCTCATGCATTTTAAGTGCCACATTATACAGAATCCATTAGCAGCAGTAGCCGCTCAGCACAATTTCAAATGTTAAATCTCTTTGATTGCAACTTTGCAGGAACCAAGAGGAGCCCACATCAGACAGTCCTAGCTGGACAGATACTGTAGGTGACGAGATGATGAGAAAATATCGGAGTTCGTAGAGTTAACTAACCCTAGAGTGAGCCACACCTATCCCCTCCACTGTTAGCATTTGTGACATCATTGAGGAGCAAAACGGCGACCACACAGGGCTGACAGCTGACATCTACAGTATTTGATTAATCCAACTGGATCTGTGCCACACATCAGCTGGAATCTTTGTGCAGCAAATTCATATAATTGCTAATTATAGTGATTTAATTGAATGATTTAAAAAAGGAAAATATTTATGTAACAGTGATCTAAACCAGACCTGATGTCAGTCAGTGACCTGGACTTTTAAGCTGTTTGAAAAACGATGACTTCAACTATTATTTACCTAATATCTTAAATATGTTCATGCATACCCAGTGATAATGCAGCTAACAATGTTCTCACTAGGTCAGGTTTGTCAAACAGAAACCCTACAGTCAAATTTACATTATTTTACACTGTAATAAATCTGAGGCAAACATGGTAATATTTAATAATATGTGCTAAATTGCATGATTCAGCAGAGTGTTACACTCTATAGCAAATTTAGGCTACAGACACTAATATCTGCTTGCCAAATCAATAATTACTGTCGGCTTTATTTTAAACTGGTGCATTRGTTTCAGTTCTGGTCAGATCACAGCCACATAGAGGTAAATAAGATGAAATCTGCACAGCTTTCTGACATTTTTTTATATACATTAGATATACWCTCTAAAATATTAATAATATTTAAATCAGTGGTGGGGCACAGCTGACTAAAAAGTTAGGTTCGCTACCAAATAATCTGCTACATAGCTAAAAAAAAATCTACTAAATAAAAACTAATGCTAACCTCTAAGACAATGGTTGGTGGAACTGACGCACACCTGTTCTTAGTTTATTAGTTTAATTTGAAGGTGCGGGATCATTTGTGACAAATCGACCAATCGAAACCAGAGTTATAGGCCAGTCTAACTTGTGATACTTCCAGTTTAACCCTTCCAAGATAAAAATTCTTCTTTGACTGAGTTTGTATTTTTATAAATACCGTTTGAAGTTAGACAAACAAATAGCAAATATTTTCTCTATTTTTTTACGTCGTCAATTATTGTATTTGCTACTTAAATATTGTTAAACATTACTTTTTTATTATATTATTATATATTATTCATGTTCAGCACTGCTTGTAAGAGGTGTTATTGTGTTTTAGTTTGGGATAAATGGCATAATAAAA